ATTTATTTTGTATAAAACAACAAAATGCACTACGTAATTCCTAGATGTTTATCTGTTTTCAATATCAAAACGTATTTTGAGACGTATTTTATAACCGCACAAGGCGTAATCACACATAATACTAAGATGAACTGTCATTTCAGACCTGTTTTGTGTGCCTTATTGATCTTTTTCTAAAAGACACTTTAGATATTTTGTTTCAAATCCTTTTGACAGGTTCAACATGGTTTTTCTGAATGACTGTATAAAGCATGTATCATTTTACTCCTAGAAGTTCGTCAATCGATATTAATATCCGTTTATTGAAACCATATACCCTCTGTGTATTCTCATTACGTATAAACCAAATGAAAAATAGATAGTTTATTAGTGTATTATGTCATTATAACTATATCCAAAGGAAACTGAAATAATATAATGTTATAAGAGGAAGGTAATTCTTGCATCTATAAAGGTTTTGTTTTCTATAATTCAAAGAGAATGCAACAATTTAACTTAAGAAAGGAAGAAGCAAAAGACCACAAAAAAGGGAACCAAAAAAATAAGAATATAAAAAAAGAGAAAAAAGAAAGAAAACATGTGTCTTCAAAGTAGTTTTCTGCCGTTTCGTAATGCATTGTTTTGTATGAATTTTTGCTCATTTTGACAAGATATGAGGACCTGTGAAAATTAAGAGGACTAATCCAGGTCCAAACCACTACACTCCACATCAATGCATACACGGTTTTCATAACTGTTACATTTGTAAATATGACGTTGTCAACTATAATATAATATCGTAAAATCTATTTGAGAGTTTCTTTTTATAAACAATGTAGGAAAAGTAAGCTTTCTAAAGGTAAACTTAGATATACAATCCTGTTAGGACAGGACTCAAATAAACAATTCCTGTGTTAGGATGAAGGATGAATACATTTTATACTATCAACGTTAGTCAACATCCTTCATCAAGTTGGTTCTTATACGAATGAAGAATATCTGATACACAGTTTGATGAAAGCGATCGTGGTCACCGTTTCCTAATGGATATTCGTGATTGCATCATATATATTCTTATCCATGACAGACTGTTACAATATAAAAACGTCTCCATTCAATTTTGATATATGGATTCGTCTAGGCGGTCAGTATAAATAAAAGCGCAAACAAAAACTTATCTAACGAATTTGTTACCAAACGCAATAAACCAACATTTAAAAAGTATCGGGGAACATAGGGCAAATAAAGAGACAGCAATGTGTTCAGGTTTTCTAGATTTATTCCTAAATCTATTATATCGTTTTCGACTTTATAGTTTTCTATATGATATTGAATGTAGAGTAAATATTAAAAAAACATCATAAGCTTAATGATCTGGTATGTCTATGAATATTTAATTATTGTACTTTTTACGGTAATGAATACTTAACGGACAAGTTTATATCTGTGTAATTGGGCGAAGAATTTTACAATGTAAGAGTTATTTTACTTGAAACGATCGTTTTCTTACGTTTATATAAATATATAGAAGCCATTGACTTCACTTGAAATAAATGTCTGAAAGTTAATGGATCCGGATTTCATGTTTTATATAATGTTTAGCAGTAAATTTCTTTTGGCAATGTTTGCATGAAGAAAAATGTAACACAAAAATGTGTTCATCTTGGGCATTTAAACATTGAATACTGCTGGAAGCTGGAAAAGGGAAGAAGTCATTCTATATTAGTTGACCGTGTCATTAAATTGTTCACTATTAAAGATTTAGTCATCATTTAGGTTAAATGTACTTTAAATTTGTTTGTTTTGTGTATTTTGATCTATTATATATATATAAACTTATAAAAATGGATACTTCTAGATAATCTTTCAAATAATATTCTCATTCGTTTGCGTTGAATTTATTAAGTGAGTAAACTGAAGGATGTTTTTAATTAGAAAATATTGATTTGACAATACAATGTTTGTTCTGGTTGTTAAACATAATTATGTTAGCGGTCTGTCAACCTCTGTACAGTTTATTTTGCATTGTTGTACAAATCTTTGTCTGTACTTATATTCAGACAGTTTTCTTTTATTAGAGGCAATGATAAGTCAAACACACAATTCTGAATCTAAAGTAGGTAAGTTATACCTTTCAAACCCAGTTTAAGACAAAAGGTCAATACATTACCTGCAGGTGCAGAAATGATTAAGATTTTGAAAACAATAAACTCATTTATCAGATTTCTAAAAGAGAAATGTGATATTAATGTTCTTGCTATCAAAATTACTCGTACGTTCATGAAAAAAAACTGGAAACTGCTGTTGAATTTAAAAAAAAATGTATTTATATGTGTATACTTAACTCCAATGCTAGTGTCTTTCGGGATCATGAATCCAGCACATAATAATAATGTATTGAAAATTGAATACCGCAAATGCCGGTGCCTTGGAGGGGAGGTTGAAGATGTAGCAGTTTTCCTTATCTTTCATTAACAGATTCTATCACACTAGTTGTTGTCATTGCTTGCAACATATTCTTCTTTTTCAGGTCATTTCTAAAAAAAAAATTAAATATTCTTACTCTTTGTTTTATTTATTAAACATATTCACATCACATTATATTTTAAAGGCCTTAGGTAAAGGACATCATTACCATTATGGTTGTGTTCTAGACACACCGTTATTAGCTACAACTGAGTCGTCTTCATTCCAATCATTCCACGAGCTATAATTACAGAGTATATCAAGAGAAACTGTTGTGCTTTTCAGAACCATCTGTTTCAATTTGATATTGGAAGTCAGTTAGTCTGCTCTACGTTCATAGGGGTCAACGATTCATTTTCGCCTCTGTACCTTTTTGCATCTTTTATGTCTTTATATTTACATAAATTGGTTATCTGTGAAAGAACAGGCAATAAAAGGATATGTGTATAATAAGTATTGTAGTTGGCGAGCAATTAAGTCTAACAAACAATTATAACGTTGAAAAAATATAACAATAACAAACTTAATGTTCAAAATAGGAAGTTTTATGGCCCAGATACCAACAGTCTTGTATGCATAAGTAAAACATATATGTTTTGTGTTTCATACCGTTATAAGAATTATTGTAACAAGCAGATGATTAAAAAATCAAATTGTTCTATTTAATAAGGCCTTTCTCTCTATCATCTTATTCATGGTCGAGTATAACAATTTCAGTGTATTGGCATTTAAGTAAAACATCTTACTCGTGCATGATGATAACAGTGACAGACTTAGTTTAATGGCATATCTGCATATACAATATACTTTTGGGCATTTCTAACATACCAAACATCATGAAAAGAAAGAAAAAAGAAATGTCAGAGTTAATTTTATGGAGGTTTATTTTTTGTCTTTATTTAGTCTATAATTTCTAAATCATTGTTTCAAGCAATAAGAATTTCATATGTTAGTATGTATACACGTTACATGAAGACTGATATTAGTAAGTGTTAAAGTAGTTTTAACGCTGAGATGTTTCAATACAATATCGTTACAAAGAATCACTCAAGGAGAGATCGAGTGCATATATCTGTTATTGAATTGTCTATTTCTGGACTAGACAGCATTTCTATATAAATTAACGTCTTACTTTTGTCGGTTTTTGATTAAACTAAACTATATTTTTGCGTAATGCTCTTGTTGAAAATAGTATCATATATTTTGAAATAGTAAATATTACTAAATTGTTATTACATTATAGATTTTCATTGATATGACTAGAGAGTCATGTTCCAAATCAAGACACTAACACATAATAGGTTCTTTGCCATTAAGTGGCATTATAAATGAAACTTAAGTTCTTGTATCATTTTCCATTCTTATTGCATCATTTTACACTGCGCACACCACCTAAAAAACTGCACACATATATATAAGTTATTGTTATGAAGTGATCTTAACAAATAACAAAATGTTACTTTAATCTTTGATCTGCTATTACTAAGATTTCTTTGAGAATGAAAATTATTGAAGTACTTACAGTGTGAAGTATAGCGTATCACTTCATGCGCATAAAAACCATATGACAAAGACTAGTCACGTGACAATGTCTTTTATACAAATTATGTAGATCATTAAGCGCTTTGTCTGAAAGTATCTTTATTTTCCACAAGAAAAAGGAAATGTTTGAATCATTAACGGGAATGATTATGTTGTTTTAAATTAGATCATGTGTGATATGTCTTTGAATGTTTGTATGTGCGTGCGTGCGTGTGTGCGTGCAGTGCATGCGTTCGTGAGCGTGCTTCACTCGAACTTTAGATATTGATTTCAATAAATATTTTAACAAAATACAAATCTTAGTCTATAACAGAGAGTTATTTGCTTTTCCCTGGAGGCTAATATACATGGAATGCGTTCAATGTAAAGTTCTGTGCTTTGTAATTGTGTTAAACCGAAAGAACAGACAATGACCCGAGTTTATACATTGAATACAGTCATGTCTGTAAACGTAGGAGAATTGTTTGAAAACTAGGAAAAGCAATAAATTAAATGTAGAATAAACTACAAATGTGCTTGTTTTTTTTCATTGTGTCACTTTGCCTTGCAACGCTTTTCAATTTTGGGTCATGTTTCACAATAAAAATATTTATTCTGGAAAAACGGAGTGAGCAAATGATCTGAAATTTTAAACACAAGCTATTGGTTTATACATACATCCAATGAAACAAAAAATCTTGAAAAAAATTTAGTTCCGTTTTGTCATAAAGGCTTAATGAATTCCCATAAACATTTCACTATTGTTATGACAGTAAAAAAAGGCGTACGTTTAATAAAAATAAAATCACTTTTTAAGTCATCTCTAAATCCTTGTCAAGCCCTTTTGAAAGACAGTAAGAAAGTTAAGTTAGACATTACACCTTAATGAGAACACTATTTGCAAATTAGTTAATTGACCGTCCAGGCAATTGAAGATTGCTTTCTCTTACTACAACTAGCGAACAAATCCGATAGATTGAAGTCCTTTCATAGCCATCTGTTGCCTAGAGTATAAACTAGAAATTGGAAAATACCAGCGGTTTAGTTTTATCACTGTTATGCTATAAAAGGAGACGAGGCAATATGAAATCTGACAAACATAGCACGATAGATAAAGTGAGAGTTAATAAGAATAATAAAATGTAAGCGGGATAGGAAATTATTGCAAACAAAAAACACGGATTCTGGGATTTTGCAAACTTAAGAAGCATTTATTTTGCAGTGAAAGATACAATTTTATTAAACAGGATTACATGTTCTTAAACTGGAAAGTGATAAAAATAAGGTAAATGTTTCTAAATAATGTTATATGTGTTTACTTTTTTTCCAAATGATTTAATATGTGCATATTACTGCAAAATCTGTTAATGTTAAGTATGAGGTGAACAGAGAAATAATATTTGAGTCAAAAATGTAAATAGTTTAAAATAAACGAAACATTATATTGGATATTAGATTTATCTACAAATATCTAGCGAATGATTGATTCATATTTTCCCGAAGATTATTATTAGTTTACAAACATAGTTTTTAAAGCGAAAATCCAGATCAATCTTTATCATTTTCTCCTTAAACGTTCTTTTTTGTTTTGATATGTTTAAGTATTTATAACAAATTAAGATGAAATATTATTAAACATCTGCTCAAAGATCAATAGGAAGATTAAGCTGTTGTCTAGAGTGGTTATAAATAATATTTATAAACGTATATTGATGATATTTTATAAATAGTATTGATTGATTATAATAACTGGCTTATTTATAACATTGTTGTACATTAAATGTTGTTTTTTTTTATTTTTACGGCACGTCAACACATAACTGGCCATATCGTGCCGTAAATACTTGTAGCAGTCTTCATACAACCTATTGCAAAACTGCAACTCTTTTTCAGTTTTCTGTTTGGTTGTGTTCCAAGACATCTTTAGTCCTCGATTAAACTATGTTTTTTTTATATTTATAAACCACATTGTTTCATTGATCTAAATTTTATATGAAAATCAAAACCTTGTTGATAATCATGACATTTCTCCGTAAAAATACCAACTCGGGAAAAGAACAGCATAAACCCTTTGAAAAAAGCTTATGTGCGCCATAGCATATGCTTCCATGCCTTAATGATATTGGCTAATTTACTTGAAGTAACATCAGTACGTTGAATGCAAGATTGCTGTATCTTCGGATTCCTCAAAGCGTCTAATACGATGGTTTACCATTCACAATAAGGGAATGTCTGCCAACTTATCAATTTTTCAGTAGCGCAATCCTCTGAAGTGGGCTAGAATATTTCATTATTGCTACATACTTTGACTTGCTCGACAGTACAAGCTAGTATTATTATAGAAGTCGCAATATATACAGTTGTATGTGATTTTTCAAAGGGAAGAAAAAGAAAAGAAAACTCAGTGATCCATATTTTATTTTATTTGTATGATCATGTTTTGCAATTGATCGTAAATCTAAACAACAATAACATAATGTCGAATTTATAGCTGCTTTGTACGGCAAAATGATATTTAAGATTATCATGCCAAGATATCGGTAACTAATTGATAAAAGTCTTTTATTTTTCATTTATTTATACATTCTGTGAAGCATATGCATGTAATTTCGGATAGTATCATTTAGGACCTAGTATCTGTCTATCATATATGACTGTATTTTGTTATGTATAAAATCAAGTTTCCACCTTTCATTATATTCCATTACTAGACACATTAGTTTTAATCTTTACTATATTGCATACGAGGACTCTTACTGTACCCACAACAGCGCATGATAAGTTCTGTATGGCAGCTTTTAAAGATTGTTTTGTAATTCAAATATTAAATGTCATTACATAATTTATGTTGAGGGTCCAATACTTTGAACCTCAATAAAACCCCAGCATCATAAGCAAGGCATTATTAAAATAGTTATGTTATTTGGAACGTTAATCTTGTAAAATTGTTTGTAAAGTTTGCAAGTAAAGCCAGCTTGTGTTAAAGTGTTTGCCCCTCAAGTTGTTGAAACCTTCCTTACTTTACAGACATGTGACAGACAACATCAAAATTGTTTATTCAGTTATAAAATCCTACTAATATACTATTACTATTATTTGTGTCGATATCGTATAATTCTGTTGTAAATTCTTCTTTATATGGCAGACACCAATCATCTAGTATTTTGTTCTCCATACATCATTTGTCTAAAGTTCTGATAATTGTACTTTAGTATTCTGATAATTGCACTTTAGTACGTTAAGTGCAACCAATGATTGTCAATAAAATAAAATGTTTGTATATGGTAAATATAAATTTAAACAGCACAACCTGGACCATACGTTTTTATTTGCTAAAGCAAATGTTTCAACATACATTCACTGATGAATCATATGACATACAAAGACTTTTGGTTTTGTTGCGGCTTATGTTATTGATTGGCTAAACGAACAATGGGCTGTATTTAACGCTTTAATCATTGAATTCACATTGCAGGGTAGGTTAATTTAATCAGATAATGAACATTCTAATGCGCTAAGCATCTGTTGATGTGTTTGTTAGCCGTGTGTTTTTTATATAATGAAATGTATTCTTATTGGCTTCCATTTGCCTTTTACAGCGTTCTTTACATATTTCGCTTTTTTCTCTCTATTTTGAGGTATGAAAAATATATCCTCCTTTTCCTTTGGACTATATAGACTATATAGACAATACAAGAGTAAAACTTAAGTTAAAAAGACATAATACTCTTACAACAACATTATATGACACATGAACGAATAAGTTAACATTGAGAATTATTATATAGGCAGTTATTTTATCTTTATTTAGGATAAAAATTAGAATTGAAATCACTTTGCCTTGTATTTAAATATAGTTATCATTGAACATCATATTATTTTGGAAGGAATATAAACTTTTTTTTGCTCTGGAAAGCTCATCAAAAAAAGAATAATATCCATTTATCAAAGCCATATATTCACTGTGTGTTCTATTAACGTATGAACTATATATATACGATATGAATATACGATATTCCATTTTTCATTTTATGTATTTAACAACCCTTTGATATCCCGATGGGAAGATATACAAAATAAATCAATAATATTAGTAGGGGAAGGTACTTTTTGCATGCATGTTCAAAGCTTGTTTATCTAAAGTATTTGTTCGATGTTCTGCCGCATTTGATTCCATATACTGGCGCATTTGTACGTATAACTGGTTTTGTTCGCTCTGAAAAGATACATCAGATAGTATAATTTCAGATAAACATTTAGAATAAAATAACTGCATTTTTATACTCAAAGTGTTATCATTTCAAGCAGGTCACCGTTGTTGTTTTTGACTTTAAAAGACAATGTATATACATGATTTACTGCATGGACGACAGTAAGTTAGATTATAATTAACTTTTCTTTTCTACCGTGACATTATTAAATTATCAGAGATGCTGCTCTAAATTTTATTCTAAGAATGTTGTTATTTTAACCAAGGTCTTTAACTTATTCAATTCACAAAAATGTTGCGTTTCATTCTTAAACTAAATTCTGAAGGTATGGGAGATACTATGGTCCATGCCCAAGCAAGACACAACCTATCATTTGTTTATCAGATGTGGACAATTTTACCATTCTCACGTCAGTTTGATTTGTAGGCGAATGAAAAACTAACTGACAGACAGTTCGATTATAACGATCACGATTCCCATTTGATAAAGGATATTCGTTACTGCATTAAATCGTTCAAATTTATGATCGGCTATTTCCATAATGATAACTAATATGATCGTGCTCTCTAAAAAATCATTATATCGTTTGTAAATTTAAATTGAAGAGAATATAATGTAAATCATATAGAAATTATAAGTCTTTATATTTAACAAAATATGATTTAACTGTCTGAAACGACCTCATAGATTCTTAAGGCTAGTCCAAGTGAATTCATGCTAAACGGATAACAAATTAGAATATATATACACACAGGTTGAATTTAGTAATGGAAAACAAGTAAAATGATGATGATGATAATGATGGTGGTGGTGGTGGTAATTGTGACGGGATGATGATGATCAAACAGAGTCTGCCACATGATAACCTTTGATATTGTATGATAATGATGATGATGTTGATGGTGATGGTGAAGATGATAATGATAAAATCGAGATTGCAACATTTTGGCAATTTTTATGGCCGCAATTGTATCACTTTGCCCGATATGCATTATTGTTATTATACTTTAAGATGTTTAAAAATAGATTTTTTGCCACAACGTACAAATAAATGAAGGCCTTTTTATTAGTTCAATGCGTTTATAAGGTACCTGTTAATTTCACGCATCTTATGCGTACTTTTAAAAAAAGTATAAATTCTAAATAGCATAATAATAATACCTTTATGGCACAATCTACAAATAAAGGGTAATATTTATTGCTGATATAGAATAACAAATAACGAAAGTTTTACATTATTTATTGACCGATATCAAGGAAATGAAACAAAGTAAAAGCAATGTTACAGTTTCAATATTTATATTATAAAAATTTGGTTTATCACTTTATTATGTTCTTTTTCCAACTGTTATTAAAGATAGAGAAAATATTAAAATACATAACTCTTAAGACATGCTAAGATCATGTTACAATGTATTGTAATTTTTAAAATTAATTTACTGTAATAAACATTTCTTTGAACAAGTTCTTGATATTGAAACACAAGGAACAAACATAATTTATCGTAATACTCGTACATGTAAGTCATACTTTTACATAAATTTCTTTTACCCCCAAGTAAAAAAATGAAAATAAGAAAGTTAATTTGTTTTTATAATGCTGTCCACAAGCTATGCGATATATTTATATGATTTATACATTAACAACAAAAGGGACTATTAAAACGAAGTTTTTCCATCCCACTATTGTACCAGTATGGGTCTTTTTTCATAGTTTAATGCAAATTAAACGAACGTCTCTGAAACCACTCTACTTGTACAAATAACAAATGTTTGAACAGTTAGAACCCTCTTAAAATCTTCTTGAAATAGTCCATCACTCTGAAGGCAAATTGCATTATGATTGTATAAAAGAACATAACGATCAATAGATATATTTTTTCAACAGATCTTAATGACCTTTTAAATCATAATAACTAGCTTGATTTAAATGTATCATAATATTTTTTTGCATACCATATATACTAAATTGAAATTGGAAGGTACACTGGGGATGCTTCCCCGACCCATTTGTACCTATTGCGGGCTTATGATTTCATCATCATGCAATGTCGTTCAAATTTATGACCGGCTAT